GCGCGAAGGGCAGGGTGGAGAGGGTCCAGCTTGGGTTGGAAACGGGGGGGGGGTCTGAAAGAGATGATGAGCGGCAACATGAGGAGCACAACCGATCAAATCGACATCACCAAACATTCTCATGAGAAGGGGAGGGTTGCTGCATCTTCTTGATCCACGTGGAGACGATCTCGCCCATCGCCTCGCTGCCGCCCAGCACAAACGCGTGCTGAAGCCCCCGATCGCAGAGATATATTTCCGCTGGTGTACGGACGTGAGAGTCAGCAGGGGGTGGTGAACCCCCCACGCAGCCCATCCTCCCCCTCCCGCACCACTCCATCAAACGTACCATCGGGAACCAAGCTCTTCATCTTCTCATGATGGTCCAACGGGCACCACTTATCCGTCCGCCCGTAGTACATCACGAGTTTGTCTTGATGCGTCTGCACCGTCTCGACGTCAAGCTCCTTCACCTGGGCCATTTCATAGGCGCCGAGCAGAAGCGCGGCTGACACGGTTCGGTAGGTGGAGGAGGGGGAAATGCGGAGTCAAGGATTGACACGCATTTGGAAGGGCGGGAGGGAGACGGGTAAGCGAAACGAGGGGGGGCGGACGGGAGTGAAGAGGATATTGTAAAAGCTGCCCGCAGGTGATGTCGAGTTCAGACTCGCTCTGACCCGTGCAGGTCGCGACTACGGTCCGGAAGGCCGTACGGGGAAGCACCGTGGAGAGGACGCCGACTGTGCCCGCGCTCACGTGGCGGATGCCTGGTAACATGAGGTACTGGTTCGACGACCGACAAAAACCGCATGAACAGTAAGAGCAAGTGTCGTGATCAGCCCCGTCCGACCCCACCAACCCTGCCCATCCCCAACCCCTGCCTCCATCACCACACCTGCAAAGTCCTCCCATTCGGCGTATCCGCAATCGAATGCAGCGTCGGAAACAACGCATAAACCTTCGCAATTCCATGAGCAGGCCGCGCCCGAAGCACCTGCAGCGCAATGTACGCGCCGATCGAGTGGCCCGCGATGATAAACCTCGTCCGGGGTGGATACCGCTCCCGCAGCGCGTCGAGGACTGCGATCTTGTGTGATATTTGGTCTTGGAGGTTGTGTGTTGGGGCGTGGTCGACGGATTTGACGTGGCCGAGGTGTTGGACTAGGGGGGAGATGGGAGGGGGGGGGGGGGGGGGGGGGGGGGGGTTTTCGGGGGTGGGGGGGGGGGGGGGGGGGGAGTGGAGGTTTCTTCGCGGGTTGGGTGGGAGGGGGGGCATTCAGGGGGTGGGGAGACGCCTTGCATACGCACCTCCGATTATATCCAACGCGCCGCCGCAGGCGTCATAGACGGTTTTGAGGAACTTTTCGTAGTAGTCGATGACGCCGGGGTTTCCTGTTCGAATGGCAAACGAGGTCAGAGTGCAGTCTGGGCGCCCCCTCCCTCCCACTCCCCCTTCGATCTCACCCCCCTCCTCCCACTCTCCTCACCGGGCACCATGAACAACACCAGCGGGTCCTCTGCCACAGCGGCGGCTTTGATCTCCAAGGTGTGCGTCGCGGCGCCGCCAAACTCTTGTGTGGTGTAGCGGACTTCTGCGGTGTGGTCGGTGGTGAGCATTTCGGTCAGTCGGGAGGGGGTGAGTTGAGGCGGATAGATGCAAGCAAGCAGGGGATTGAAAGTCCGACCAGCAGAAGGCAAACAGCGAGACGGCCGGCTAATTGACGCGGCAATTCAGCCGGGCACGGTGCGGCGTGGCTCGGCGCGACGAGCGAGATGGAAGGAATCGCTGAATCGCTCCCCGGTCCAGTCAAACCGTTGAGCCATAGGTGCCTTCATCCTGCGTCTTCCTTCTCCCACGTCCCCTCCTCACAGCACATGCCACCTTTTCCGCAACCACCCAAGGGTACCCTTTCCCTCCTGTCCGATCCCGCTGGCTGCACCCGGGAGGACGAGACGGGCCAAGAGCTGCTTCAGAGATTGGGCATATCTGTGGAGATGGGGGTTCTCGCGTTTGGCAATCGGATGCATTGTATTGCTTGGATGTTGACGGAGCTTCGTTGCCTCCTGGTGCGGTCATGAGTGCATGCTGTTGAATCAGCCATAATTCGATGGAATTCAATTCCTGCTGTGGGCCAAACTTCCTCCCTCCTGATGAGACAGAGGGGCCAGGAGCCGCTTCAAACAGTGGAAATGGTGCACTCTTCCATATCAGGTGAGACCACTCGGGCATTGGCAAATGCAGTTAGGAGAGCCAGCCCGAGTTTCGCCTCAACAACTTCCATGATAATGAGAGTGGTGTTGGTTGCCGGGGCAAAAGGGGGGGGAGGAGGCAGGGGGCATGCCGAGTTTGGCTGCAAGCTGCACGACGTTCAGGGGCTTGGGGGGCCGGGGCAAAAGCGTGAATAAACGTGTGTACAGTGCACTCTAGGGAATCGAACCATCAGCGAGTGGTTCCCGTTGGGGGTTCCGGTCACTCGCCCTAACCGCTCGGCCATGGTGTCATTCCTCTACCTCCACAAAGGAAAGCCATGTATTTCGCATTAAGCTTGGGTCATCAAACTACCTCCCTCTGCTCCACTGCTTGCCGATTGTGTGTTTCTGCTTCATGATCCCATCCCATATACGTATGTGGTCTTGTCGGACTCCACATCCCACATCCCACCCCATCGCCGATGACCGGTGCCCGTCCCAATTCAGTTCCATGGTGAATTATAAATGGTGTTGGGTAGTTGCTTGATATTCAGAAGAACATCCGAAGGTGAATAGTCACAGTCAGGGGGTTCTGTTTTTCTTCCAACCCTGGCATTGCTTGGATGTTCAACTTGCCTCCTGGATCGCAGTCAAGGGTGTTTAATTATGAATGGGCCTTGGTTCGATTGACTTTATTGATGCGTCTCTATTCACCTGTCCACCCCCCTCTGATGGGCGAACTACTGAGCGGGACACAGGGGCCTGAGGAACCGCTTCAAACAGTGCGGATGGCTACTAAAGTTCTCGGGGATTGGCAATCGTGGATAAAAGAGGCAGGCACATTTTGGGCCTGCACGACTTCATGCCAACATCGGAGCCTGATGAGGGTGTTAGCGGCCGGGGCAAATGAGAGTGATCGGTAATCGAAGGCAGGAGAGGCGGGTCGAGTTTGGCGTTAGCAGTGGCCGGGGCAAAAAGGAATACACTGGTGGAGTCAAAACACCATCAACAATTGAATCTGCAAACGGGGGATAGGTGGGCCGCCGAGAGATTGCCGGTCGACCGCCTTGACAACTCCGCCATGATGTCGAACACAAGAGAACCCATCTCCTTCAAATTACTCCCAAGTCCTCAAACACACCTCCTCACCTCCATCAGCTTGGGCCTGGGGCGTTGGTAGTGGCCGGGGCAAAAGGTAGGGATATAATCAAGACACCATCAGGACTTGAACCTGACCGCGGAGTGATTTCCGGTCGACCGCCGTGACAACCCGGCCATGATGTCACAACCGCAGACATACAAGGGTTCCCACCTTCGTATTACGCTTGAGTCCTCAAACACACATCCTTCCCTCCAACACCTCCCCTGCTCAAATGCTAATGGCCCGGGTCAAAGGAGGGAACGGCGGAGGTCGAATTCGGCACTGAAAGCTGCATGCCAACGTCAGAGCACGGTGGCGTTGGTAGGGCAAATATGTATTCCATTCCACACTCCGCTCGAAGAAGTGGGTAGGTGTGCAAAGTACACACTGGGCGAGCCTCCCCAACCTCTATGCAACTCGCCCAGCCTCCTACGCGCGCGAGGCACTCCCTCCAAACACAGGGAGCGACCCCGCGGCCAGGTGCTCGAAGACCTCCATCTTCTTGGCTAACGACGCCTTCCCGAACTCCGGGTCCAGCTTATTGAGGCTCTCGACCACGTCCCAGAGCCACGTGTACTGGGCCATCATACCATGCGTCGTCCATTCAGTCATGTCCTGAACCTCGCTCCGGGACAGTCCCCCGAGAATGAGTTCAAGCAGACGTGCCGCCCGGATCCCGTGGACGATTTCTCTGGTGTACAGGCCCTCAACCTCCATATATACGCCGCCAAGCGGCCATTCAGCACTGCCGTCATGGCGCCCTTGCGTACATTTCGGAAGAGGTAGACGGACGGGGCGGCGCCTTCGCGGCGGGCGAAAGACCTCATGGTGGTAATGCGACTCGCCGGGTCCATCAGCACCGGCATCGTCTTCGGCGCAATAACTTCATCGCCGCCGCCCGCGTCATTCTGGTCTTCCCGCCCTCAACGGTGAAGATCAGGCCGGCCCTGTCCGGCAACACGCGACATTGGTCCGCGCGGACCTTTGCCAAGTTCCCACTTCGCGCGCCCGACGCCAGCAGACAGGCCAGGGATGCCATGTCCTGGGCATCACAAAGGCATCGGAGGGCCAGGCCTCCATGTCCGGGGCAAAGAGCGCATCCCCCATAGCGCGCATCAGTTGCTGCATCTTCCCGGTAACGAGATGATGAGGTTTCTGAGGCGTAACGCCGTGCCGAATGCACTCGCGTTTCAGGACCGCCTTGTGGTCGCGCCCACGTGCCCCGAGCGAACCCGGTTACCAGAGCCCGTCGATCCGCAGTCGTTGGATTTTCCGCCAAAAACATGGATATTGATGGTCGTGTACTCCATTTTGAGGCCTGCCTAGTCGCAAAGCGCCACTCCCAGCGCAAGGGTTTCGATTACGATACCACATTCGCGCCTGTCGCGCGCCGGGACTCACTGCGCTTCCTTCATGGACAAGACTTGGATGAGCGAGGAGCGCTTGCGCCGTTTCATCGACGCGTTCATTCACTTGTTTTTACGTGTTGAATTAAAACGCCACCGGTTTCCTTGCCATCTCGCGAGACAGTGCGGTCGGGCCACCAGGTCGACGAAGCGTTCCAACGAATCGAGGGTGGAGTCGCCTGCGAGTTTTCGATTCCCGAAGTGGGGAATCATCGACGGCTCCAACGGCAAATATTTGAACAAAGTATCTGGCTTCCGCCGGGTGCGTCGACTTCGACGAGGGGTGCGATAGAGCTGCGACGAACGTCGATCATTTGACCTCGCGGGAGGACAGCGCTCGAGGATGGCGGTCGGGGCGCGGAAGGGTGGGGAGAGCCCTTCCGCGGGGAAGCAGCAGGACCAGGGCTTTGTTTCAGTGTTGAATCCGGCCGTCATCACCTCGTCATGGAGTGTCGTTTTCGTCATCAGAGGCGGGGGAAACGAAGTCGACTTCGGGCAACCGCTGGCTCTTCGAGAACCACACGAGATCCATGACAAGCATTTGGGGAAATGTTGGACAGTAAGGAGCAATGCTCTTCGGTCATCGGTACTTACTGACGGACCCCACGAGGAAGCCCCGTTGCAATAATCAGCACAAATGAGGGTATAAAAAAACGGGAGAGGAATTGACAAAAACAAAGCACACGAGGAAACTTAAACTGCAACCCCCCTCTCGCTTCGGCCCCAGGAACGCTTTTATTTGCTTCCTGGAAACAGATACTGATAGAGGCATTTCCTCTCCGTGGTTGACCGCAGACTTGTTTCGCAGCCGTGTGCGAGCAAGGCCAAGATCGGCAGATTCTTGACGGTCTTGATCGTCTTGATCGGGGCGCCCAGTAGCGCAACCCATGTTCCACGACACCGTCTCACATAGCCTGCAAGGGGCTGGGTGAGAGCAACAGGGAGAAGGCCGGTAAACGAAGTAACTAACTTAGGGCATCAAGAAAAGGGTGGAGATCTAACAAAGAAGTAAAACAGAAAGCACAAGTAAATTGCAAACCA